CCCAGGGCTTGAAAGTCTTCCTTGATTTTACCCAGGTTTTGGCTTTCAGTGTTGTTCATGCCTACATGAAATAGTAACAACAGATAGTAGTCCGTTTTCTTGATGAGTTGTGGCACCCTCTCGGCCACGTCTCAAACCTTAGCTCCTGGAAGGCAGCATACCTCTCGTGACTCCCCGTCAGGTTGGCAGATGGGTGCCTCAATACCCTTCAGAGTCACCCACTACGAGTACTCGTTGTTTCTTTTTATGGTGTCCACTGTGTGCTGCTGGTACAGTTTCCCCTTGCAGGGGGCTTTGCAGTTCTTATGTTAAATGGCACAAAGTTCACCCCTCCCCACCCAAAACCCAAGCTCACTATTTGTGCTCATGCTATTAACATCCATGCTGAGACCCAGAGGAGTATTCCCAAGCCATTAGAGAAACACTGTCCTTTGAGCAAGGGGTTACAGCTTTAGAAGTTATGTCCATCTAGGATGGTGCTGTTATTACTATGTTACTAATAAGCTGTATTTTAAGTTATGCCAAAGTGACCATTTGATCAGCTTTCTGAAGGCTACCCAGAAGATGTTCCTTACATGCCAGGTCAAGCTTTTACCTTCAGCTTCATCATTGAATCCTGACTCATTTTGTCACCTCTTGCCTCTGGGACATCATCAGTGCCAATGAGTTTAGCTTTGTATCTTACACCATCACCTTTGAATCTGGCCAAGAGAGATTCATCTGTCTTTTCCAGCCCTGGAGACAGAGAAAGGTTTGTGGTTGGTTTTTTTTTGTTTGTTTGTTTTGTTCATTTTAAAGAGAAAAATGTCTATGTTGTGGCTTTGAGAGTTTTGTTTTTTTTTAATATAAAAATACATCATATTAGTACATATTAAAACTGTCCCTTGAGTATAACTGAATAACAACCTTAGTCCTTCCAGTAGTGCATGCACTGCAAGATAGTTACTCCTTTAAGGTTACAGTGTTCTTAAAGAATCTGGCCTCAGTTCAAAGGGTGGAGCCCAATGCTTAATATTTGGGGACTTCAAGAACAATTGTTTGCCACATAAAAGACTAAAATATTTATAGGCAACAGCCAAGTAGATATAAGTGCTAAGCAACAATAGCAAGCAAAGTGGTACTTCCCATGGCCATACAGGATGTTCAGTAAGCCTTTCAGATGTTAGCCTCTAGTTCTGGCATAGTCAGATCTCTTCTTGGCATACAAGAATCATCTAGTCCCTGTGCTAGAACTTTATATCAGCACCATCATTTCTACAAGTCCTGGTACCCCCATCTCTGTAATCACTTGGTATTTTAGCTATATTTGCTATTTCCACTACCTCAGAACTGCTTGGTTTTTTTCTCTGCATGCTCAACATACTCAGAGTGTGCACCTAGGTATGTACCTCTGTTTGAGGTAGTTACATTTACATGACCTAATCTATAAAAAAAAAAAATCTATTATCTACAATAATTCTCATTAAATGAGTTTTCTAGCTTTTCTGGAGTAGAATCTGTGTCCAGCATGTCACTCTCTGTCTCTCTCGAGGGAGGGGAGGAAGTGAGTTCAGGTTCAGACCGACAGCTACTAGGATGGTCCTGGGTCTGATCACCTCCTCAGTAGGCTTTCATTTCTCCAGGCTTTTGGTGACTTGTCAGGCTCAGCAAATGAGTCATTTAACAAGTGGAACAGAGAGCTTCAAAACTTAAAGCTAGGAAGCTTTCAAGCTAAAAGCCTACCTTCTGGTTAGATTTGTTTTACTAGCTTATTTATTCACTCTTCCAGTCAGCTTGAAATCTCAGAATTATTTCAACTATGGTGTGAGAGTGATCTTAGTTTTAGACAAGTGCAAAAGATTAAGGAGACTGACTAGAGGAAGTGTTCAAGAGGTAAGTATCCCTTACCTTTCTTTTTTTCCTTCTTTGAAGGTTGTGCTTTCAGTGGAGCCTGTTGCTCAGGCTGGCTGTTGATAGTAGTAGTTTCAGCTTCAGTAGACATGATGAGATGGTGGTCAGCTATGCTTGCTGCAGTTTTTAAAAATCCAAACAACAATCAGTAGGCAGGCATAATATTTTACCTTGAAAAATAAATATTCTCATTAGACCTGTTAGTCCAGTTTGTTTTTTTTTTTTTTGCTGAACACTGAAGCCCACTAATGCCTGAAGACATGCTCTCTAGGAGCTGAGCTTTAGGACATTCTACCCAGCTCCATGCTGGAAAGAAGAAACAGCAACCTCAAGGTACTGAGTCCTGCCTGTCAGTGATCCCACTTCCACAGTTTAGTTGGCAGAGCTACACCCAGCTTTGGTGTTATACAGCCACAGAAGTATCTGACTCTGAAGTAAAGTTAAGGGACAATAAGAAAAAAAAAAACCTAGGAAGGAGCAAATATACACAAGCAAGACCTCACTTTGGCAACTGTAAAGTGGTAGAACTCCAGATGGACAGTTGTCATCTTTATACTCTAGTCATCCCTCCATTATTGCCATCTGCCTCCATCCCATGGAGGCCAGACCACTTATTTGCATAGACTCAGCCACAAAACTCCAAGGTGGAGGAAGATGGTGTGGTGGGTTGACCTTGGCTGGACACCAGGTGCCCACCAAGCCACTCTCTCACTTCCCCCTCCTCAACTAGATAGGGGAGAGAAAACTATGACAAAAGGCTCATGGGTTGAGATAAGGACAGGGAGAGATCACTCAGCAATTACCATCATGGGCAAAACAGACTCAACTCAGGGAAATTAATTTAATACATTGCCAATCCAATCAGAGTAGGGTAATGAGAAATAAAAACTAAATCTTAAAACACCTTCCCCCCACCCCTCCCCGGGCTCAACTTCGCTCCCAAATTCTCTACCTCCTCCCCCCAAGCAGCACAGGGGGACACACATAAGTCTGAGCTTCTCCACAGTAAGACAGGGGTATTTGCAAGGGTTCAGCCATTCTCAGTGTTAACAATTCAGTTTGAGAAGGTTAAGGACAGCTTTCCAGCCAGTTTACAGGACAAATTCTCCTATCTGAGGTCTGGCACAGCTCATCTCACCTGGTGAGAGCTCACAGTACATGACAGTTATTTATCATACCTTTGGAGAATTCAGTATCTTTGAGAATCGTATCTCTGGAGCAAGAGAATTAGCTGCTAAACTAAGAATGTAAGGATAGATAAAGGCTACCTTAATACAAGTTCATATTTTAAATAGCTACTTCTTGACATCCAAGTTAAGCCACTAGACTAGCACAAAATCCCCTCAGGTTTTACTTTAAAATTTCACTGGGGCAGGGAGCAACATTACATAGCAGTAATCTAGTCTGCTTGAGGTACGAGAGTCTCATCCACAATTAAGTTTGGATTCTATGCTTTAGACCCAAGTCAAAGCTGTGCTACAGTGCAAGGTATTTGTCACACTTAAGTTTGGCTTTTCTTAATGAAGAGCGCTGGTGTGGTCTACATGCCAGTAACTAAAGTGAGGTTAAAATCTTCTGTTTGCAGTTCTTGCTTGGAGGCTTCCTTCTGCAGTACTCAGTCCCTTAGTCAGACTGCAGGAGTAAAGCAACAAGAGACTAGAACTGTCCTATTACACTTGAATTCTGAGTTCATCTGAAAAGAGCCAGCTAGCAGTGTGGCAGGATTAGAGATGCATGTGCTTTCATGCAGGGAAAGTCATGCCTTCAGTTATACTGGCATAGTGAAGAGCAAGATCATTCTCACAGCAACTATGTCAGCAGACTGTTAAGTGATGTCTTTTGAATCTTCTCCATGTAGATAAGTCCATTGCTATCACCACAGCTTAGTTACTTGCTATGCAATTGTATGGCCCATTTTAACTACTATGCTAAATGCACTATTTCAAGTCTTAAACTACAGATTTCTGGATGTTGCTTCCCTGGGAGAAGTGCCCCAAACTCTTGCCTGTATCAGTAGCTACACACCACATTTTGCTCACTCACTTTTCAATTTACTCCAGAAAGGGCTTGTTAAGAGGCCACTAGTAGCATCTCCCTCCTTTCCTATAGGGACTATCCTGTGAAAAGTGATTACTGATCACTCCTTCAGGGAAGACCATTTCAGGCCCTCAACACATAGGCCTTGAAGTATGAGCTGTTACCTATTATCTCAAGTCAGGCAACTCCCCATTCAAACATTGTACTTATTTCCACACATCTACCCTGGAAAAAGTCAGTCTTAAGACTTTGGGCATACTGTGCTCTTGGTGTCTTCTCTGAACTCCCTACAAGGGGAGCTGTTGGAAGTGACAAGACATCCTTGAAATACCTGTTTCTTAGCAAGAACTGAAGCAGATGCCAAACAATTTTGTTGAGCAACATTTAGTTTCCCCTCAAGAGATGCTTTCACAATTATCCTTTATTTGAGCAAGGGGTGGCAACACAGTAGCTACTCTTAATGATTCAATTTCTGTCCTGTGCACAGGGAATTGAGGGTCTTCATTATGGCTGTAGCTTGTCACAGGATTTTAAGACTGGACAACGATTCTATGAGTCTGTGATTCTATGACAATAATTTTCACCCAACAGACAGGCTTTTTCCCCTCAGCAGACAAAGATAATTGCCTTAATGTTGATGAAAGGCTGTCTGAGAAGACATTAGGGACACTGAAAAAAGTCAGAGGCAAGAAAGATAAACATCTGCTCAGCACTCTAATACTTTGTCCTTTTTACAGCCCATGTTCCTCCTTTGTCCCTTGATACTGCAAGTACATGATTCAGCTTAAAGAATTATTGCATGTAAATATTAACCTCAAATTAGAATCTGAGAGGCCAGGAGAGGACAAGAGAAGCTTTTACTGTCAAATGCAATATAGCCTGTTAGGATGAAGTAGTAAGTAGAAGCACAGCAATAGTTCAAGTGCTGAACATGCTTCAGGTTCTTCCGGTTAGAAGGTTATATCAGGACCTGCACAATGTATCCTTAGAAATATCTCTAGCCATCAAGTTCTTGACAGAAGAGCTGTCTTCAGAAGGGTGGTAGACAAGCTGTCCACTTGAGTGAATTCAGGACTTCAGTTTTGCAGGCTGAAGAAATAGACTAAAGGCTAACAGCAATACATAAAATGACTAGCAAGAGTCAAAGCTGTAAAGCCAGATACATTTACTAATAATGGACAATCTTGACTAGCAGCATTCTACCCACATTAGAAGTATAATAGTGCATTTGTGTGAGCCCTTGTATGACTGACTGACATTTGCATCTAACAAATCCCTGTGTGCATAACTGGCTATCACATTTTCTGCCTAGTTCCCTACTGCAATGATAGTGCCCCAAGTAGCCTTGAGAAACACTAGGCATTGTGCTATTCAGACTTTTACCTTGTAAACAGGGTCATTCATGCTGAGGCATCAAATAAAATATCATAAGTGTTGTTTCATTACTAGAACACCCATTGCTCTAGCATATGACAGTGTCTGATTTCAAGTTAAATAAGCCTCCTGCAACATGACACAAGATTACTATGATTTAGATGGAAAACTCCAGCTGCTTGCTCTGATGAAAGCACTACCATTAGTTTGTCTCCTCTATGAAAATAATCAAATTAGTCTGTTAAGAACTAGCATAGTCAGCAACTAATACACATGAAAGATATTAGCCTTACCTACAGGTAGGGTTATACCTGATATATATTGTTCACACTAATACATAACAAGTACCTGCTTGAAGACAAGTGGTGGAAGAGTTCATAGCTTAGGGACTGTTCCCCTCCAGTTTATGCTATGTCTGGAATGCAAGAACAGCATCACTTGCCAGAAAGTCAACTAAATACAGGGTCTTATTCTACCAAGTCTAACCCAAGCCCCTGTAGTTAGTCTTGTAAGAGAGAACTGAAAAGGATGTTGACCTACCTTACCTGACAAGCAAAGCTACCTATCATTCCCTCAATCAGTAAGGTCTAGATTAATGATGCCCCCACCACTCAGTTTCTCCTGTGATTCCTTGATAGCAGGGAAACCAGGATGAGTTTTTTTTAACCCAAGTTAAAATAAAACAAACCCCAACTATTCAGCTGTCCTGTTTAGGCCATAGGTAGTTAGAAAACCAATTTGTGGTTAAGAGATCATTTGCTTGGTATCATGGCCTTGGTTAAGCCAGACACTCAGCCTGTTGGCCACAGTATTTCCAGATTAACAGGATTTTACTTTAGGGAGTTGTCCCTACTTCTTTCATGCAACTTCCTTTTAAGCCCTGTTTGATGTCCTCTCACCTAGAAGAGTATGGATCAATACTTTGCAGAGGTATTAAGGCAGCCTTATGCCAAGGGCTTCTTCTACCAACAGGAATACCCTTTTGGAATAAGCTACAGCTGTACTTACATATTGGAGAATAGGGCACATGGTCCAGCTGTCTTGATCATATACAGCCAGTAATGAGAAACAGGGAAGGGTGACATCCACCTACTTAGCAGGATAGAAGTGTGATAATAGATACCTCAGGGAATACCTCCTTCATGCTGCTCCCTTCCCTCCAGTACCTACTGTGAAGTATATAGAAATTTTATTACTCTAATTAGTCATGTCAGCTACAGTTGTTGGCATGTACCATTGCTGGTACATGATCATGCCTGTGAATCACTACCCAGACATCTTACCATTTTAGTCTATTTGCCAACTGCTATTTCATCAGTTGATCAGAACAGTGTTATCAGTGCATCAGTCTGATCTGTTTGGTTTTTAGCAAGAACATAGAATTTTAAACTAAGTTTCCAAAAGTGCTTTCTGCACACTTGAATCACTGGAATTACAGACAAGTGAACATCACTAAGTTAACAGCTGGAACTGAACAGATCACTCAGTTCAAGTGGTGCAATTGGACCAGTACTTTTTACCATTGTACTATGCTTTTGAGCACATCATTACTGATGAGATGATTAGTTACTTCTCAACCCAAGAACTATTAGAACAGAGGTCTCAGGAGAAGTCATGACTAGTTTAAACAAACTGGTATGATATAAATTAGCAACTGTTGCCCTCTGTTTACTTTTAAGG